TTTCTAAGTCACAGTATCTAGCGAAAATAGTCAGTCGAAAAAACAAGAAAAGAAGGATTTGTAGACGAAGAGAATTAAGGGAGAGAAGATGGAAATCAAAATTCGTGTGAACTTTTTTTTGAAATCCGCTACTTCATTACTGAACTTCTACCCTTTATTTATAGGCAGCTAGTAAGGCTGAGTAGGGAGAAATTCGTGGTGAATGGAGAAAATCGTGGGAGAATGGGAAAATACTGGATCTAGTCAATATGACAGTTACTGACCAATTATTTTCTTAATTAATTAATATTTATTATTAATTAATTTTCCACCGAATTATATTAATTAATTAATGATAATTAAATTCTATAAATTCGGGTCCAAAAAATAAGTCATTCGGACTGAGCCGGCCGGACGGCGGCGCGCGCGTGTGTTTTGATGATCATGGGTGTGTCCTCACTCCTTTCACAAAATATGCAAAGCAGTCGATTTACGACAACGTCTCTAGGATAAAATAGTCCGTTCAATAACGTACGATTGATAAATCGCTCTAGAAATACACCTTTCTAAGTCACAGTATCTGACGAAAATAGTCAGTCGAAAAAACAAGAAAAGAAGGATTTGTAGACGAAGAGAATTAAGGGAGAGAAGATGGAAATCAAAATTCGTGTGAACTTTTTTTTGAAATCCGCTACTTCACTACTGAACTTCTACCCTGTATTTATAGGCAACTAGTAAGGCTGAGTAGGGAGAAATTCGTGGTGAATGGAGAAAATCGTGGGAGAATGGGAAAATACTGGATCTAGTTGACAGTTACTGACCAATTATTTTCTTAATTAATTAATATTTATTATTAATTAATTTTCCACCGAATTATATTAATTAATTAATGATAATTAAATTCTATAAATTCGGGTCCAAAAAATAAGTCATTTGGACTGAGCCGGACGGACGACGGCGCGCGTGTGTTTTGATGATCATGGGTGTGTCCTCACTCCTTTCACAAAATTGGGTACCCTTTAGGGCCCAACCCAATTGACCAAGTTGAAATATATAAACACTACTAATATTTCCATTCTCTTCAATGTGGGACTAAAATGAATCTTTTCAAATTCACTTCTATATTAGTTCTTACTTGTGTTTATTTATTGCCCATTAATTGTCAATAAATCATTCCAATTCCCACTCTAATTAATATAATTCCAACATCTTTTAATACTTTTACAAGTCTACTGATTATGATACAAAATCCTGCATCTTTTGGACAAGTTGATATGGATACCTCTAACTATACTGCAAGTTTTATTTGTTTCATTATTATCACGATTGCAGTATTTGTTCCCCATCTAGTGGACTTGGGCTCAAGTTTGGTTTAATTAACAGTGTTGAATCATCCTCATTTCTATATGATTTATATGTTAACTATGCCTGCATTTTTCGTGGCATGACTCTGAACCGTAATTTAAGTTGTTATGATTTTGTGAGTCTTTTCTATCGTTGCCACATTAAGCTCCTATTAGTATTATCCTTATGTCATGATCAATCCAAACATAGGGGTTGTAATTTGTTGTCACTTATGGTTGTTGAAAGAATTGGTCAAGTTAAACAATCTGAACTACTGCGTTTCCATCCTTTTTCTATGTTTAATGGGGCTGTTGTGTATAACTGCACTCTTAATAGGATTTTGGATTGTAACGCTATGGCACTATAACATAGTTTTAATGATTCTAGTGCTAATCACAATGCTTATTGCTATAAGCACATGGACTTGGTGAAAATACATTGTTTTCACAAAACCTTGAATCTTTTGTACATCATTTTATTGACATCTCAATGGAATGCAAGGAACTTTTCTATGGCTATTTCATTAGCTCTGCATTTGAACTTTTTTCCCTTGGCTCGACTAAGCTTGTGGATAATGGTAATCTCAGTCTCTCATTCTTTGGTTATATTGCTTCACAATATGGTTATATGAGTGTCCTTTATTGCTATGGTATGACTTTGAAAGAAGTGTGGACTGCGAAGCAAGCGATGAAGAGAATTGTGAGCCTCACTATTGGTTGTTGTAAATCAATTATGCACTATCAACAAATGTTTTTCTCTGTTTGTGTGTTAACTTCTATTTTAACATGGGTTTTCTTGTTTACAACCCAACAAATGAGGTTGAGTGAGAAAATAGCGTATGAAACTTCTACACCCATGTCTTTAATTGTTGATACTTATTTAGTTACTTGTGTTTCATTAGTTGGATTAGAGGCTGGTAGCTGTTAGATGCTAATCCCGTTATTGATTTTCGTTCATATCATAATGGTTTTGGAAAGTTTGTTAACCAATAGAGTTCAATTATCTACACTTTTGGATATTTTCTTGTCTATGGGATGTAAACATGTAACCTATAAGAACTTACTTCATGTTGGTGACTATGGTAATGGTTGTACTTTTGTTTTTATAAGGTTGGAAGATATTCTACAACTACAAAAGTTGGCACCTGAACCATATAATGTTCACTCTTTGAGTTACATGTATGATTTTTCTCATGAAGGTGCTAGGAAAGTTGTGAGTTTAATTTTTTTTCTGCTGCAATTTGTGTCCTTGTTGCCACTGAAAGCTTACAATTAGCAACAACTATGAGCAAAGTGATTAATGCTCAAAAACCATACTCCAATGCAGTATTGGAAAGTGGTTATTTTGTCCATACAAAAGTATCCTTTCAATTTAATCAACGGGATCCGGGTGGATGTTCAATTGACCTGGAAGCCATTTGGGTAGATATTACTATTTTCTAATATTGCCTTAGCTTCAACCTTGAGGACAAGGTTGATTTTAATGGGGGAGGTAATGTTATGATTCAAATTAGAGAAAAGTCATGTCATCAAAGCGAGTCATTAAAATGGTTAGAGAAAAGTGACACGTGTCACTTGATCTATGAATTAAGGGAATGTAGTTAACAAGAAATATCCTCTTAACCTTCTATAAAAAGGAGCTTTGATTGGAAACAGGCATGGAAGAAAATTGATGAAGTCTCTCCTCTTTCACTGACACTCTCTTATAGAGTAATAGCTTAAGTCTTGCACTTGGTTTTCTTCTATCTTACTAGTATTTCTATTCCTTAAATGGTTTGATTCCATCTTATTTTGAATTTTGATCTGATTGTAATTTCATACACTTAAATCAAAACTCAATAGTTTTCATCCATTTATCGTCTTATTGTTCCTTTTGGGTTGTGATTTGGTTGCTCATAAAATCACAACCCTTAAGGTGGCTTCTAACTCTTGTAGGGCATCCTTTGGGTCAGCTCCAGATAGGTCACCATCATCTCCGCTGCCTCATCTCTAGTAATTATGTCGTGGTCTATCAATCCCCCTAATCGGAAGATGCAGTAGACATGGGGCATGTCATCGTGTGGAAGATGAAATAATGAGGTCTCAGAGTGCTATTTTTCTATAAACGCCGATAACATACTATGGTTAATCGTAACATAATCGGTTTTGCATAAGTCTTCTAGCCTAGATAGCTGCATCATATCCTGAAACCACTACCCAGCAAACTGTGGCATATCGGCCCCCAATCTCCCGGTCATGGTTGATGCATTTTAAAGAATCACGGTCCTACAAAAAATAAATCATCATCAGAAACTTGAAATATTATAATAGATGTGTTTCAAAGAATGAATACAATTGAATTTTACCTCCTCATCCCACACATGCATGACAACGTGGTTCAGATACAGATACAACAACGATAAGTCAGACAAGTCTCCTCAAAACCCTTAGGGTTCTGCCTCGGGTTTCTTAGGGGCATTAACATGTACAGGTGAGGTTTCCAGGACATCAAGAGGTAACATCTGCCTCATACTGAAAGACGAAGGAAGAGATGCATGAGCTCTAGAAGTTGATGCCTCGCATCAACCGAACTAGAACTAACTGATGCCTGTGGTGATCGATCTCTTTCCCTTTGAACTGATGCATGTTGCGCAACTTTGCCTTGTCTCAGTCTATCTTGCTTATTAGCCATAATTTCTATAATTAAACTACAAGCATTATACAGATGGAACACAATGGAATGAAGGCAAACAATGCAGACAAAAAAACTAGAAATACATCTCCGATTTCTGAAAAAACGTTGAAAAGTTCGAAGATGCATCTCCGTAATATTTTGCAACTCAGAAATGAACGAAAATGGCAGAAATGCAGTCCAATCCAACATCCAAAAAAATTTATTAGTCATTTAAACTACCTAACAAACAAATTGATCATTTAAATAACATATCTAAACTACATATTAGATAATTTAATGCTCAATTTCTACAAATGTATATAGAAATGAACAAAGTATAGAGAAATTAAAAACTTATTACATGTGAGTTTGATGTTGAGCTCTTTAATCGATTAAAAACTTATAAGGAGATGCATTTCCGTAAATTTTTTTGACATAGGCTTAAGATCTGACTCAAAAGCGAATGTGAATGGAATGCATTCGGAGATGTATTTTCAAATTCTAGAGATATTTTTTATTTTTTTTTTCTCAAGAGTGAGGAAACAATGTTTAGAGTGGAAAAAGCAATTCCCTCAAATTTCACACCTCTAATTTGCATATGATTTTCTTATCCTTTTGTGAGTGGAATTGGGCCATCATTATAGCCATTGAGAATAAAAAATAATTGAATTTCTTTTTTATTTATATAATTGTTTTAAGGAAAAAAGGAATATGTATAGATTGTAAAATATTTTTACATTGTCAATCAATGAGAGACGTTGATTCCGCTATATCACAATTAATATGTGTGAAATATTGAATTCCTAAATGGTGGGACACTAAGAAGTCAACAGTGTGAACCATGGGAGGTACACTTGTATGATCACAAGACTAAATGTAGGGACACAATTACAAAGACTCAGTATGGAGCAATCACGACCATAAAAGTTTCCACAAGGAATCGTATCATCTTCAACATCTTGTTCATTTCTTCAACCTTTCTTCTTTAACCAGATTTAGAGTAAGGGAAAGAACGTCCTAGTATCATGTCACTACCTTCTTCTTTGACATGTGATTGGACTCATGATGTTTTTCTCAGTTTTAGAGGCATTGATACTCGAAACAACTTCACTAGTAATCTCTACAATTCTCTGCATCAAAGGGGTATAAACACTTTCTTTGATGATGATAAAATTCATAAAGGAGATGAAATCACACCTGCTCTTCTCCAAGCCATTAAACAATCTAGAATCTTCATTTCTATTTTCTCTAACAACTATGCATCTTCAACTTTTTGTTTGACTGAGCTTGTCAACATTCTTGAGTGCTCCAACACACAAGGACGGCTGTTTTTGCCGGTTTTTTATGACGTCGATCCTTCTCAAGTTCGACACATAACTGGCACTTATGCCGAGGCTTTTGCGAAACATGAGGCGAGGTTTAGAGATGAAAAGGAAAAGGTGCAGAAATGGAGGGATGCTTTGCATCAAGCTTCTAATATGTCTGGATGGCATTTCAAACCAGGGTATGTAATTCAGTCGACATCCTTTTATACATAACTTTTTGTGATATGATTAGTTCGGTAGAAGTGAATAGACTAAGCACATTCAATGAATATGTTTCAATTTACAAGTTTTATTATAATATGTAGGTCTGAACTAGAGTATAAATTTATTGGAAACATAGTTGAAGAGGTCTCTAGAAAGATCAACCGGATTCCTTTGCATATTGCAAGCAAGCCAGTTGGGTTGGAGTCTCAAATGTTAGAAGTTACATCTTTCCTTGAACTTGAATCTAATGAGAGAGTCAGCATGGTAGGTATTTGTGGAATCGGCGGAATAGGCAAATCAACAATTGCTCGCGCTGTGCATAACTTGATTGCTGATCAATTCGAAGGTGTGTGTTATCTTGCTGACATAAGAGACAGGGCAACTAATCATGATCTTGCACAGCTCCAAGAAACACTACTTTCTGAAATACTCGGGGAGAAGGATATTAAAGTGGGAGATGTATACAAAGGAATTTCAATAATTAAAAGGAGGCTCCAAAGAAAGAAAGTCCTTTTGATTCTTGATAATATTGACAGAGAGAAGCAGTTACATGTACTCGTAGGAGGACATGATTGGTTTGGCTTCGGCAGCAAGATCATAATCACTACAAGAGACAAGCATTTGCTGGCCACTCATGGGATTGTGAAAGTCTATGAGGTCAAACAACTAAACAAAGAAAACGCTTTTGAATTATTTAGTTGGCATGCATTTAAAAATAAAAAAATGGATCCAAGTTATGTGGATATCGCAAAACACGCAGTATCTTATTGTCATTGTCTTCCCTTGGCTTTGGAGGTTATAGGTTCTCAGCTGTTTGGAAAAAGTTTAGATGTATGGAAATCTTCATTAGATAAATATGACAAAGTCATTTGTAAAGATATTCATGAAATTCTTAAAGTTAGCTATGATGATTTGGAAGAATATGAGAAAGGTGTTTTCCTAGACATAGCTTGTTTCTTCAATTCTTATGAAATAGTCTATGTCAAAGAAATACTATACTTACATGGTTTTCATGCGGATGGTAGCATACAAGTGCTAATTGACAAATCTTTGATTAAAATTGATGTCAATGGCTATGTGAGAATGCACGACTTGATTCAAGATATGGGCAGAAAAATTGTGAGGCAGGAACCAACATTAGAGCCTGGAAAACGCAGTAGATTATGGTTCAGTGATGACATTGTTCATGTTTTGGAAGAAAACAAGGTACTTTAACTTTTTTATATTTATACATTTTTGCTGAAATTTTTCAATAATAGCATAGAGAGAAACATACATTATGATTTACAAATTTGTGGTTACAACCATAGATGTAGATGACAAATTCTCAACCTTTAATTTGTGTTTGAATTGTGATATGGAATCGAAAGGAAACTGATTCAATAGAAGTCATAATCGGCGACTTGCATAAATACAAAAAAGTGAAATGGTGTGGAAAAGCCTTCGGCCAAATGAAGAACTTGAAAATTCTTATACTTAGAAATGGACGATTTTCCCAATGTCCTCAAATTCTTCCAAATAGTTTGACAGTGCTTGATTGGAGTGGATACCAATCATCCTCTTTACCATCCGATTTTAATCCCAAGAATCTTGTAATACTCAACCTGCCTGAAAGTTGCTTCAAACATTTTGATTCATTCAAGGTATGTATCCTTTTTAAAAAATTATATGGTGAACATATTCTGTTTGGTTTAAAAAGTAAAAATTTGAGGCTTGTATTTTTCTGTAGGTGTTTAGGATGTTGAACTTTCTAGATTTTGAAGACTGCAAATTTCTAACAGAAATACCTAACTTATCTAGAGTACCAAATTTGGGAGCACTGTGTCTTGATTTCTGCACTAATTTAAATAGAATCCATGAATCAGTTGGGTTTCTTGACAGGCTTGTGTTATTAAGTGCTCAAGGATGCAACCAACTAGAAGATTTGGTTCCCAATATCAACTTGCCATCTCTGGAGACTTTAGATTTAAGGGGTTGCTCGCGTCTCGAGAGCTTCCCTGAAGTAGTTGGAGTAATGGAGAATATAAAAGATGTTTATTTAGACCAGACTGCCTTAAAACAATTGCCTTTAACATTTGGAAATCTTGTCGGACTCCAACGTTTGTTCTTGAGGGGATGCCAAAGGATGATCCAGCTACCAAGCTACATATTTCCCAAATGTGAGATAATTACAGCTTATGGTTCTAGAGGATTTCAATCCTCCAGAGATGAAGAAAACGTGCTCCCAAAAGTGTTTATAAATGTCATGCGTGTTATTAATGAATATGGACAATCCTACCTTAATATGTATTCTCCTCATACAGCCTGCAACAATGTCATTGAAGTATGTAGTCCTCATTGTGAATCAGAATTCACTGAATTTAAGAATTTACCGGGAAGCATAAAGTTGGGTGAGCTTAAAAACAACAAATCATCACTGTGTTTTTTGTTCCGAAATAAATTCCCCAGGATAGCTCTAAGGTGTTTTGTAGAATCTGAAAAGCATTTGGACAACATGGTGTTGAATTTCGAGTTGAATATACTCATCAATGGCACTAAGCAACTCACTTCCTTGTGTGAATACATATTTTATACAAAACATGTAACAGAACAAGCTCTTTGTTGTAATGTACAAGGCAAATTAGGGGGTGTATTTTCAGAGAATGAGTGGAATCAGGTAGAGATTTTATGTGAGATGAAACATCTCATGCCATTTGGTTTTGAAGGTCAGGATTGGACCAATAAAAGGATTCTCAAATGGGCTGTCTTATTGTTTGCGTTAGAAGGCAAAGATGATGATTTGAGTTTAGTTGACAATCCTACATCTCAAGGTATGCAACAAATAATAGGAATTGTTATCGGCGACCCTTCTGGTAAGTTCAGGGATATGTAAAATGATTTTACATTAATCTATTTAATTCTTTCAAAACTGACTTATGTGTTTATTCCATTCTATTATGTATTTACTTAGTAGCTATTAGCTATGTAACACATGTGGGATCTAATGCTCGAAGTCTATCGCCGTGCAGGTCCTAATGAAAGACAGTACAAGGATATTTTGGCGGGCTCAAATCTGAGTCATCCTAAAGACAGCACGAACGATTATTTTTATAGGTTTCGAAGGCGCCGTTCTCTTAATAGGTTTCGAAAGATGTTAAAAGAGTTACATATTGTGGGAGGATGATTAATTTAAGTTTTTACTTTATTCTCTTATTTAATAAACGTTATATTTTAATCTTTTAAAAACTATTTTGTTAGTCAATTTAGTCATTTTTATTAATTTTTAACTTTAAATATTTTGGAAAAATGTGTTCCGATTCTGACTTCGAGACCAAAACGAAAGTCGTAGCTCTCTCTCTTAGATTTCCGGCGATTTTTATAACGCCTCAAACGAATTCCCGAAACTCCAATTATGATCGTTTCCGTACAGACCGCTAAATCTGAAAAATAAAGTGCGAAAATCAAATTAAGCCAAAAATAAAATAAAATATAAAAATATAATAAAACATAAAAATTATTAAAATAAAGTAGAAAAATGTCTAAATAAAAATATAGGAAAATGTGCATAAAAATGCACCGATCATGAATACTAACTGTTTTTTTAAATTTTCAAAATAAAATCACAAATCCATTCATATTAATTCTTCTTAAAATAGTAACACCCAAGATTCAATCACAAAAATGCTAAAACTTCACCTAAAATTAGAGTTTTTCAAATTTTAACAATATCTCTAAGCATAAAACAAATGAATAGTCTTAATTGAGAACGTTATGAAATCCCCCAACAATGTCTCTAAGCATAAAACAAATGAATAGTCTTTATGAAATCCCCCAACAATATTACCTAGACTTCAATAAATTCTAACGAAAAAGAAGAAAAAACAACAATTTATTTCTCTCTCTACAAGCATATCGAATGTGACAACTTGCTTGTACGTATTTGATTCACCATTTGGATTTGTCTTTATTGAGAACGTTACTATAACCGTAAATCAATTTTGGGTTTTTACAACTCTATTCATATGTTTTCTAAGGTTAAATTGTTTAGGGTTTAATTTTGTTTTTTCTAGGTTCAATTTTGAATTTTTTAGATATGAGATGAATGTTGATGAATATGATGATGAAGATGGTGGGGAGAAAGAGTGAAGAAGATGAAGTTATATAAAAAATATTATGTGTTGATAGATCATTGTCATACTCAGTAGACTATCAATTTCTAACCGTGTGATATTTGTTAAAAAGATCCAATTGTCAAAATTAAAAAAAAAAAAAAAAAAGTCTATGGTGGACCATCAACAATGTTGTCTCATCTAAGACACTTAAAGTTAATAATTAATAGAATGAACTAAATTGGCTAACATAATAGTTTTTAAGGGACTAAAATGTAACGTTTATTAAATAAATGAGTAAAGTGAAAACTTAAATTAAGCTAAGAGATTAAAAGATGAATTAAGTCTAATAAATAACTTTGCACCACTGTTCTTAAATTGCAGACTTCATGAGCATTGTTAAGAAAAGTGGTTGAGCTTAACTCAACCATACAAATTCGATTGGTAGAGTGAGGATTACCCTTATTTATAAATACATGTTCATGCCATATATTATCCGATGTATGGTTCTTAACACACTCCCTCACCCTCAAGACTAGACAACTATACCATATTAAGAAATGTGGTTGGGTCTAACTCAACTCTACAAAATCGATTGGTAGAGTGAGGATTACCCCCACTTATAAACACATGTTTATGTCATATATTATCCAATGTGGAATTCTTAACAATCATCAATGTTTAATGTGTAAGGTATCATATTGGAATGTTCAAACCTTTGTTACAATTTTTAATGCACCATACCATGAAATTGTTTTCCTCACTTCTAGAGTTAATAGTGATTTTGAACTGATTTTACACTAGACTAACATTTCGTATAAATAATTTTATTCTTCCATTTTGTAGAAATTAAATGAAGGATTTTTCTCTAGCATCATACGCCAATTAGGTACTGGTGCAAGCACAACACTAAAACTGATGATAATGCAGTACCAGACCCTGTCCTCGACGAAACTTTTGAGACAATTGCTTAGGAGACTTAGGCAACTATGAGTTTGTCTAATGTATGTGCATCAGTATTGAAGTTTGTCTAATGTTTCTTCTTCTTCTCCAAAACCAAGGTCACCAGTACACCCACACCCTCCAAAATAAATCTTTAACTACATCTCACAATCCTCTAATACAAGATGTTGCGGTAGAAATAGGATATCAAACTATTAATTAGTTTGAATCACAATTCAATTCACAACCGCTCTTTGATTTATCCGAAGAAAAAGGTCAAAAGATGGAAAACCTATTTTTGCATCGTAAACACAATGCGGGGAGAGACCTAGGTAAGGGGTTGGTTAAGCTTAGGGAAGGTACTAGCACCCTAAACTTCTGTAGTACTCTACAGGAACCTTTTGTCTATTGTATGCTTTTTATTTTATTATCTGCTTGAAATATATACTGAACTAAGGGATAGAGTGACCTAAAAAGACCTAAGGGGTTAGTCCTAAGTTTACTCGGCAAGACGTCGCATCTTGTGCCTACATATCCTGACGGAAATGGAATCAGAGTAATTGTAGTTCTCCTCGAAAGGGAGGTTAGAAACGTCTTGACTATGGTCAAGGTTTCAAAGGGGAGTAAACGTATCTTAAGGACACGCTTACGTGGAGTTTTGAAACTCCTATTTCTACGTTGAATTTGTTGAATTGAAATTAGGGTTAAATTAGGGATTCCACAGCGGGAAACCCTAAAACAGAGTACGACGACTCTTTGACCTAATGCTAGGGTAAATGGCGTTTTCGTCCACGACGGGACACCTCGGCTATTTGTAACACCCCACTTTACCCCGTACGTGGAATATAATAAATATCCAGGAATAATTCATAAGATTCATCAGAGTTTTCCAACATAGTGGGATATCACACTAAGTCACGTCATTCCATTAAAATAAATCAATATTATTTTAGTTTTCAATTAAGCAGCGGAATACAAATCAATTCTCCAATATAATTCTCCTCAACACGAGGTCATACAACATAAGTCCAACAAATGAAGATACGTAACAATAAATAAATAAAGTAGTCAAATAACAACGTAATCCCGTCATCCCATGTTACGTATCAGAGCGACTCCTAAGACTCGATCAAATAGCAACACACTCCAAGCACTACTCAGGTACCTGGTCACCTGTACTCCCAAGAGAGCACAGACACAACAACAAAAAGGGGTGAGAACTACATTCAATAAATAAACGGTGAAATACACATGCTAAGGAGTAGTTACACACCACACATACAATCATACATAAATAACGCACATACACGTGCCACCTCAATCATTCGGCATTAATAGCCCACATTCAATTACAATAATGCGATGCGACTCACTGACTCGACTCAATGCATGTGGTACCAACACAATCTCATACGGTTCACACTAGAACCCGATTCCCGTCGGAATCCGGATAAGTCGTATATACGTTCCTCTGAACTACAACTTATCTCCACAACGACTTCCACTTTGAAGTCCGAATCAAACTAGGCACCCATCATGGATTCCCACCTAGCCATCTCCACAAGACACATGATATGAAATGTATGTCAACACAATTATGCAATGTAATACATCATGCATAATTCAAGATCAATTTTGATCCACACGAGCCATCCGCTCACTGTAATCCTCTCAGGAATTACCACACTCGCACAAGATTGTCCATATTCGACCATCTTGGCCCACATCTATCAAAACACCAAGACATCATTGAACCAGAACATGATTCGTTACTAAAACATATACACAATTGACTTCTCAAACATAATTAGATATAAGAATATTGGGAAAACAATTCCATTATCTATCCTATGTTATAGCTCTGTTCATTAGCTTTCCAACGCTTCGAACGGGGGTCAAAACGGACTTACGGATCCAGAGTTACGTCCAAAACAATTTCGACCGAAAACATGAACATCTGTGACGGACAGGAAAACGCTGTTACGATCCGGAACTGGTTTTCACTCAATTATTCTTACGAATCACTCATTCAACATACCTAAAACATCACTAAAACATTCCTAAGGTTATACGGCAACAACAACACAACTTCTATGGTTTATTAGGCTCATCTGACAACATTTGCAACACCTAAAACACTATTTCTTGTCATTGCTCTGAGTACTTCAGAGTTACTCACATTTGAATATTCTTGTTCCTATAGGGACTACATATCATAATTTTTCCATCAATTACACCCTACGGCATTAAAATTACTTTCTATCCAATATTTAATCCCTTCAAGGTCAGACATAACAATGTCAAGCTTTTGGCCACAAAGGCCTAAGGTTTCCTTCTCAGTTTAATATTCAGTGATACATACTATTTTTTCCAAATTGCTCTGAGTACATCAGAGTTACTCAAAGAGAACATCTATATTCCTACAAGGACATATTAATATTCAACAATACATATCATTTGGCCATTTGGCCATAACCTCAGATTCTTACGGTTACTTCCCTATTTCTCACAATTAACCCAAATTTCTAAACCTTACATCACCACAACATACCGAAAGGTATACATAGAAAACTATGAGAAGCAGTACTCCCCATACCATAATCATTCAAGAACAACAACAATTTTATGGAATTTATCATGCTACGAAAATTAGATCAAGAATCTTCAAGAACACATAATTCCTATGAGAGAAAGGACCTCTCACTACCCTCTCATGTTAATTCACCCATATTGAAATCCATTCTCCCCCCTTACCTTAGAATTGAGCTTTTCCTTTATCAACAATGGAGAATTTGGTTCCTTTGCCCTAGCTCTCCTTGTTCGTCATTTTCTCCTTTTTCAC